TGCATATTATTTTACAGTATACAATTAAATGCCCATTTTGCGCGCAAGTCTTAAAACGCATCGAATCCAGGACAAACTCTCCAAATACCCTCAAAACTATCCCAGAATACACCACGCTACCCCATTGGTGTCTATGTTTTAAACAAAAAGTTACATTACAGACCTCATTTCGGGGGCGATAAGAAAAATTCGTACCGTTTTGTTTTCTTTGGTATCTTACCAACCATTGTCCTTCTTGGTGTCCTTATTGCCCCTTATTTATGCCGCAAATATTGACAATGAAAAAACGGCGTAATCTAGTTATCATTTCCAAAAGTGGCGTAATCTAATTATCTGTTCAAGTAATACTTACATGCAAATAAGATGAAAAAAATCAAAACACGCAGGATGAAACTGGCTCCCACTGTATTCGACATCCTGATATTATAATATCCAAGCCACAGGTCAAGCAAAGTGAAGCAAGTAATTTCTCAATAATCAGCTTGTTAATGTGCTTGTCTCCTATCATTTTCGCCGAAAAATGTGTATGTTGACCTGAAGTGTATGAGTATTGCGCAAGCCAGAGTTCCCGGATGTATCAATTGTGGTTCAGCATGGGGAAAAATGATATTGATATCACTTTACAAACATGCGCCGCGCAAGTCGTACAAGCAAAATTATGTAAAACGTCGGCTAGTTATGTATTCATTGCAGCATGATGTATCGGAAAATAGCACTTCCTTCTGGAGGTTAGTACTCCTTTAAAGCTGTATTAGGGTAAGACAAATCACGAAAAATGACACATAAGTAAGTTGAAACATAAAATTTTTCCTATCAGTATCTATCCTTTTGAGTTATCGTGTGAGCCTGTTTATTGAGAATGGCCCTAGGAAAAATCATCTATATGTTTTAGTTGGAGGAAATGTGTTGAGACCTGAACAATAAAAATGTAAATCTGGGATTTGAAGCGTTCCCTCCTGTCACTTCACATACAAGACTTCATCTTTCTTGACGCGCCACACAGCAGTGTGCCAGTTTTAACAGCGTCATTGTCACATTAAGTGGCTTTATACAGAGTTCTCTGTTCCAGTTTATGTTTCCAACATTAAGAATAATGTAAAATTTGAACTCGCATTTATCCCAGATATTGTTCCCTTGTGGCTCTTAAGCCGTCGGAGTTCCAGGAATTTGTTTAAATCTTAAGTGTTCTTAAAATCCTGGAAATGTTATTGGAGGATAAAATTGGGACTGCTGTTCCATCTAAAGAATGATGTATAACACTCTTACAAGGCTCAACTGCCTAAACTTTAGCATGAATCTTTTTTACAATCATTTTTCTATGAACAGAGAGAAAACTTGATCATCAGCTCTGAAAGCTGTGATTTTCGAGCACAAAGTTTTGCCCCAAATTGTTAAGATACATGTACTTGGCCTTTTTTTCTATTTGTACGGTTGTCATCTAGTCGTCGCAAAATGTATCATCACATTTTGGACATAAGTAAACTTGGAGTACTTGTAGATACATGCCAGAAAATTTGTTGTCTGGGTCAGGTTCTTCATTATTCATCGTTAATTATCTTTCTTCTCACAGACATCTTTGTGGACGTGAAGCCGCTGTCTGGTTGTGAACCAGTCATCTGTTCGTGTGTCCGGCCGGCCGAGCCAGCTGACAAGGCCTGTCAGGAAGACTGTCTCAACAGGTCAGAAGGAACCACATGCAACTACTGTAGACACACCATTATCTGCATGTATTCTAGATGTGTTGAACAGAGGAACAAAGGAGTAAATGTTATGTTACCATACTGTTGCCATTCACAACTAAGTCTTGCCATTCACAACTAAAGAACATTTTTTGATGAATATACGATACACACAATGAAAAGATAGCTACTCTGGGGAGCTTTCGAGACGCACTGTCTCTTCATCAACCCATTCTTGAACATCGCTTTGTGTTTTTGTGAAAATGGCTATCATATTGATGTGCATTTCCTCCCTGAGTATTTTTATTTCTATGTAATACTGGTCAAAACCCCTCACTGGGGCATCACGACCAGGTATCTGTGTGGTACTTTTAGAATACAATATAAAGTTTGAGGTATGGATAGAAAAGCTTCCATTTATATCAGGTATTGTAGGCATATTGTAGAATGTCATGCCTGCTGTCATGTGCCCTTTGTACTTTCTAACATTCCTGCGTTGTTTTTAGGATGAGTTTCATGGAGTGTTCCCCCAACACCTGCCCGTGTGCGGACCAGTGTGCCAACCAGAGGATACAGAGGCACGAGTGGGACCAGGGCCTGGAGAGGATCGTCACTAAGGACAGGGGCTACGGAGTCAGGAGTAAAACACCTATCCCACAGGGTAGGTCAAAGATGTGTGAAGATTCCTGAAATAGTCTTGTACATACTTGTGCGAGTAATAAGTGACCATGTGGCTCTAATTCCATGGATACAGACTGAGTGGGTGGTGGTTGGCTAAGAGGTTGCACTAGCCATTTTGAATGGGGTTTTGGAGCCTTAGTTTACATCAGGGCTTTCGACAGATTGCAATTTTTTTCCGTCAGCCTGGGTTCATAATCGGACCTGTTGGAGGAGGGTGGGGGGTCCAGGGCAAATTTTGTATGTTCAATTTCCTGCATTTTCAGAGGAATATCATGGGGTTGAGAGTGGTTATTGGTAGTCCTTCATACGCCTTTACATTTTACCCAAGATTTTGTCAATTTTGTCCATCCATGTTGACGGATTGGTTTAAAAAGTCACACGCCACAAATTGATGGAAAAATGGGTGCTCGCTAGAGCCTTGGTTTAAACACAGAATGGCCTTATGCTCCCTTTGGATGGACTTTTAATAAATGATGCCACTTGTACATCTGTAGGAAACTTTATCCTGGAGTATGTCGGCGAGGTGGTGAGTGAACAGGAGTTTCGCCGGCGGACCGTGGAGATCTACCACGACCACAACCACCACTACTGCCTCAACCTGCACAGCGGAGCCGTCATCGACGGCTACAAGTACGGCTGCGAGGGACGCTTCGTCAACCACAGCTGCGAGCCCAACTGTGAGATGCAGAAGTGGTCGGTTAATGGGGTGTACAGGATCGGACTCTTTGCTCTCAGGGACATCCCGGCAGGGGAGGAGCTGACATACGACTACAACTTCCACGCTTTCAACATGGAGAAACAGGTAAGCTGGGAGGACTGGTGTAACTGTGCCCTCTAGTGATTCATCTGTGTACTGCAGATTCTGACTAAGCAGCCTGAAATATTTTGTATTCAGACTTCTTCTGTATTGTTTGAAGTGTTATTTTCATACAAAACTTTCTTTATGGGACAGTCAATCAACATACCTACTATATATCTGTGTTTTGAATAGTCATCAATACAAATGGAGAAAAGTTTTTGGTTTTACATAGTTCCAGTAGGTGTGTGTAAACTGTTGTGCTCTCCATCTTTTTTCTATCAGCAAATCTGCAAGTGTGGCAGTGCCAAATGCAGGGGATTCATCGGGGGAAAGAACCAACGCTTCAACGGTGCCTTGAACAACAAGCCTGCAGCCAAGAACTCAGGGGCCAAGACAAGGAAGAGCAAAACAAGGCTGAAGAAGAGGGTGAGTAGTAGATTCACCTTAGCTCAAAACGCCACTTATAATAGGTTAGTGTGAAATTGTGATAATATAGCCCACTGTCTGATCTAACAGCACCCTCTAGTGATTGCCTTGTGTACTGCAGGCCATGTGATAGTTAATTTTTTTTTCCTTGTACAGGAACAACAGAACCAGCAGCAGTCCCAGGGTGCACAGCAGCAGCTTCCTACTCCTCAGCACCACCTGCCCAGGTTTGGAGAACCTCCACAGGTCATCTACTACAAGTCCTGGTCACATGCCATCAAACCTCTCTCTGCTAGGGAAAGGTAAAGGTTTTATACTGCTGCATAAATGTTGGTTTATGTTGGTAGAAGTCCTTGTAGAGAAGGAATTAACTTTGGATCCACCACTAGATTTTCACTGTGAGGATAGACTAGAGTTTTGGATAGCTCCAATCCTTTACTGTTGGATCAAAAGTACCATTACTTTTCTAAAATTTATATTCGTACAGTTACTTCATAGCTATCTCTTATTGATGTTACATAAACATTCATTGCTTGTTCAAGTCACGTTATGCAAATAAAACATGTCTTAAATATGATATACAATTGTCAGGATACTGTATGATAACTTGGACTTAGAGCATAACAATGTTTTTTCTGATTTACAATGTATGTCTCACTGTGTTGTAAATCCTTGCCTAGGAATCTTGTCCAGAAGCACAAGATGTTCCTCTTGCATAACTGGGAACGTGTGCGGAACTCGAAGGAGGCCATGAAGAAAAAATCAGCCCAGGAGACCAAGGCAGCCAGTACTGCTGTCGGCGGTGCATACATTCCAAAAACAGGTAAGGACTTCCCTAGGGCTAATTTAAATCATGCTCCAGAAACGCAGATGCTAGTGATACTGTGTTGGTTTTGCTGCAAAGTGTAGTCAAAGCCTAAAAGTTTGAAGGGTTGGAAATCTATTGTTGGTCATCTTGTCAGGCAGTAGGTTTGGTTCCTTTTTTTCCCATAGATTTTTTTTACAAATGGATTTTTAAACTAAAATTACAGTTATGTAAAAGTATGTTCTGTTTAAAGGAACCTCAGTCTGATTGAGTCTTAACTTTGGGAAATCATGGGAACCTAGGAATTCAATAATTCTTAATAGCTGCCTTTATCTTTCATTGAACATGTCTGCAATACCTAGATTATAAATTTCTCAGCAAGAAAATAAAATCATTTCTTTTGAATGATTAACACCACTATTTGCTAACAGTAGATGAGTTTGTTACCAGTTGAAGACGTGTGCAGGATTAACAAGAAACAAAACAGATATTTACATACGGTATTTTGTTCTATAAGAGCTGTAACATTCAAGGTAACAGAAGAAGTAGAACTACCTTATAATCAACCCCAACCTGACATGTTGTTTTGTTTTTGTTTTTTTTTCCTTTTCTACCATTTTTTTTTGTCTTGCCTTCTGCCCCGGCCACCCCCATGTTTAACCTCTGACTTCTGACATGCAAGGAAGGGAAAAGCCATTCCAAGGTAATCTTTCCTCACACTGTACAGCACATTCCAGGATACATGCCAGGAAACAACAGACTCTGTGGACTACAGTCCCTTCCCTTTCAGTCCTCTTGTTGAGGGAGGGTGTACACAGAGCCTACAACTCAGCTTGTTATAGTACAACATGTACTGGGAAATGATCCTTTTTTCCAGTTTTCCTTCATTCCTTTCAATATTCAGTTTGCTTCACATGTATTTCAATGTTACTACAGTAGTTCTTTAAAGGTTAGTTGATGTACAGTTAAAGCTGAATTTTGTTTGCTTTCAGCCTCTGCAGAATTTTAAACGTATTTCAAACTTCTGTTGCCAGACAAACCATGCCGAATTTTACAGATTATTTTATGTACATTCAGTCTAACCTGATCTAAATATATCTGTATATTTAGATACAACTGCTTGAGCTTATAATAAAGTGTGAGACAAAAGTATATTTTTTCAAAGAGCTAGAGAGATGCTGTACATGTTTTACTGCTGTCTTGGTATTCATAATACATACTTACATTTCAGCTGGCTGAAAAGTTACCCTCATTAGAAGTATTTACATGTAGACTGCCACTGTGAACCGAATGATTTCTGTTCTCGCCAGACGTGTTCATGACGCAGTTCACGGCGCTGAAGACGTCGCGCTCGGTCCGGACGCGTCGTTTGGCCGCTGCTGAAGAGAACAGCGAAGTGACGAGGACGGCAAGACTGGCCCAGGTGCTGAAGGACATCTACAACACTGTGGTCAACCACAAAGGTCAGGTATTATGTATATATTCTCAGTAGCCAAACAACAATTGATTACATTATTACTTCAGCCAATGAGATGTAACTGTAGATAATTGTTTTTGTGGGCACCCTCAGACTGGCCCAGGTGTTGAAAGTCAGAGACATACGATTAAAAATGGTCAAAAAAGATGTGGCACCTGTTGGTACAGGTTCTCAGTAGCCAATCAACAATTGATTACATTAGTGCTTCAGCCAATGATGAGGGGATGGATGTAGATAATTGTTTTTGTGGGCACCATAGATTTGATGATAAGGTTGCTGTTGTGATAGAGTGTGTATTGGGGTAGACTGCTGTTGTGATAGTGTGTATTGTAGACTGCTGTTGTGATAGAGTGTGTATTGGGGTAGACTGCTGTTGTGATATAGTGTGTATTTCAGACAGAAGAATACAAACATGAACCCAGAGCACACTTCTTGTTACTGGTTCTAAGGAAACAGTAACAAGCTTTAACTTCCCAGCAACCATTAAATGTTCATCTGTCTTCACAGATACCAAAGGCCAGGCACTTGCAGCCCCCTTAATGAGTCTTCCCAACAGGAAAAGGTAAGCTTAGGGTTTTGTTAATTTTTGCCTGTTTTGCATGACCATGAACCACAATTTATCACAGAACTGTGAAATGGCTTATACTGAGGTTCCTTTTTTCCCCTTCACTTCTGTCTTTAGGAATTCCGAGTATTACTCCATGATTTCCGACCCTCTGGACCTCACCACCATCGAGAACAAGATCATGACAGGGAAATACAAAACTGTGGATGACTTTGAGGCTAACATGCAACAAGTCTTCAGGAATGCTGAGGTTAGTGCCTGAGGTTATAATATGTTCACCTGTGGTTTGGACCTTGTACTTCTTGATAGTGTATGAAAGCATCCATAAATGTACATCTTCAAAACTATTGTAGCTGTCAGTAATGTTTCCCCACTTATTATATTACCTTGCCAAGAAGGTTATGTTTCTATCATTTGGTAATTTTTGTGTGTGTTTGTGGTTTAGAATAACTCAAGAAGTAATTGATGGATTATTATGAAATTTGGTATGTGAGTAGATGTTGACAGAACAAATTTTAATTATGGGTATCCTAGATCATATATTTATGTATCACATGAATCAATGCTTTAATGAGTTGATCATCTTTCTTATTTGATTGCCATTGCCCTACTGTCACTTTTGCTGCATTGTAATGTGCTTTATTCCTTTACTACTTTTATTGTGCGTTAGGTGGGGCTTGTTGCTGCATGTTGCTTTGCTTGCTGCCTATGTGCTTTTTTTAATGTCATTATGTGCAAATAAAACGCTTTTAAAAAACCATCACAGATCATCTCGGCCTATGCAAGTCAAGTTTGTATGGAGAATAAGGTGAATAAGAATCCATTTATGGTTAGGAAAAAAAGCTAGCCTGGTGTACATTCTATTTTATATCCACTTTTCTTTTCTGGAGTCTTTCTGCAAAATTGTCTGGCTCCTGTCTGTTTACACATTTGTCCTTTACATCCTGAATCATTTTGGGTATCAAATTATATTAGAAGCAATGGGGATTAAACTCATGGGGATCATGCCATTGCAGAGAGCCAGCTTGGAACCAATAGGAACTCTTGCTTATATTTTGTATTTACTAATATTAAAAGCCAATTGATAATGAGTTAATGAGTGACAGACGGTTTTAGCAGAGAAGCAACCTAAGGAGCAAACCAGAGATAGAATAGGATGGATACTAAGCTAAAAAAATTTGGAGGAAAAAAAATGATTTCACAGTAATATGTTCAATAATTGATGTTTTTAATCAATACTGTGTGAGCCTGATGGAACCATTGTAATCTATTTTGATTTCAAGAAGAAAAATTATGTGAAAACAGAGGTACCTGAATTGTCTGCTGTTCTCCATTTCTGTGTAGAAATTCCACGGGAAGAAGTCACCGATAGGGAAGGACGTGTGCAGGCTGAGGAAGGTGTACACCACGGCCAGGAGTGATGCTTCCAGGCAGCTAGAAGTGAGTCACAATCACTACAGCTGAACGTAGACATCTATGTGGGCCATTTGTACCTTAGCTAGAGGCAAAATATTGCAGTGTGTTCATGTTTTACGCTAAATGTTTAATCAGCTTGTTTGTGTAACTTAAAAATAAGTGCAAGGGTTTACTTTTTTAGTTTTGTTAGTAAAAGACATTAGCTATGTTTTTAGTGGAAGAAACTACTGTGACTAAATTTATATTTTCTGTGCTTTTGTATTTCATTTTTCGTGGTCACTTCTGTATCGTGATTTTAGCATTACTGCAAGCAAATAATTTGCCGACTTTATTCTGGACCTGCTGCCAACGTAAACATATATAAACATGTAGGTCTGCAAACATGACCATGCTACCGCGAACTTACAGTGATTTACAGCATGTATTTATTAGAGGAAACTACATTTATAGAATGTATATGACTGCTGATTGTCTGCATTGTGCTGTACAGGAGATCCTAGGTGAGGTGTCTGGAGAACCTGACACCACAGAGACGGTGGAGGAGACAGTCAGGGACCAGGAGAAGGACGAGTCAGACGATGACATCATCCGCTGCATCTGTGGCATCTACAAGGACGAGGGCCTCATGATCCAGTGTGAGAAATGCATGGTGAGACTTCCTTTTCATGTCAGTGGACAAAGAAAATGACAGTCTTTTGTCTCAGTTTTCGTATACATGTCATTTAAGTCTGAAGTTTGAAACCTGAAGAGTGACATGCAGTATTAATTACATACAAAAACATTTGTTCAAAGTGCTAAAAACCAACAATATGTAGTTTAAAGGGCCTGTCCTTGGTGCTGAACACTGTCCTCACATGCTAACATACCTATCCTTGGTGCTGAACACTGTCCACACATGCTAACATACCTGTCCTTGGTGCTGAACACTATCCACACACATGCTAACATACCTGTCCTTGGTGCTGAACACTATCCACACATGCTAACATGCCTGTCTTTGGTGCTGAACACTATCCACACACATGCCAACATACCTATCCTTGGTGCTGAAAACTATCCACACACATGCCAACATACCTGTCCTTGGTGCTAACACACCTGTCCTTGGTGCTGAACACCATCCACACACATGCTAACACACCTGTCCTTGGTGCTGAACACTATCCACACATGCTAACACACCTGTCCTTGGTGCTGAACACTATCCACACATGCTAACATACCTGTCCTTGGTGCTGAACACTATCCACACATGCTAACATTCCTGTCCTTGGTGCTGAATACTTTCCACACACACTCACAGGCAAGGTGGCAGAAAAAACAATGTTGACCTTGCACTTGCCAATGAACGTTAGTTTTGCCTTTGCTTTCACGGAGAAATCTTCATGATAGTTGCTAAGGTACAGCCTTAATGTACATGTACTTCCAAACCCCCAGGTTTGGCAGCACTGTGACTGCATGCGGACCACAGACGACGTGGAACATTACCTGTGTGAGGAGTGTGACCCTCGGCAGGTGGACAGGGAAGTTCCCATGGTGCCCCAGCCTCCGTACGCTAACCGCGGCTGCACGTACTACCTGACTCTGCTCCGGGATGACCTGCTGGTCCGACAAGGTACGTCTCATTCTCACAGTACTGTAAATCTTGCAATATTTGCAATATTTGCAGTGTTTTTTTGTTCATGTTGTTGGATTTCTGTGGTTTGTTGTGGTCATAAAGAGATGAATCGTCGGTGAAAATCAGTCATCCCAGATATGTTAGAAAAAGAGGATACCATTATATTCGCGTTTTTCACAGTCACTTCTGTAGCGCAAATGTATCATTACTGCAAAATAATTTGCCGACTTTATTCTGCACCCACCGCCACCTCCACTTTTCTCAGATGGCGAAATTTTCAACTGCAAATATAAAGTGATTCCCAAGATGTCAAAAAGATGACAACAAATTTTGTTTTGGAGCCCTCTTCATGCTGTATTGTTGACTTCTTGTTCTTGTTCCCAGGGGACTGTGTGTACCTGATGCGTGACCAGTCCCAGCGGCGCAGTGTTGACGGGAAGTCTGTCCGCACGTCCTACCGCCTCCTCTCCAACATCAGCCCTGACAAGCTGGACGTCTTCCGCGTCGAGAAACTCTGGAAGAACGAAAAGTAAGACTTGCCTTCAACAGCCTTTTATTTTATAAACACTCGTGTCCAAAGATTTTCAGCAAGGCAATGACAGATGTATGACATATCAATGACTGGCTGAACCATGCCCTGAATTTGCTGTCATAAAGCTATCATACAAGAAATATGACCATACCATTAATAAGACTGAAAGAACAATGGAAAGTAAGATGTTTAGATAGTCAGATAAGATATACTGTAAGTGTTTTGAGAAATCTTCTACTGGCAAGACAGTTACTGTTGCAGTTAGTCCGCTAATGTCTTCCTGACTATACGCTGAAGTGATTGGTTGTATCTCTTCTTCCCCAGGAGTGAGAGGTTTGCTTTTGGCCACCACTACTTCAGACCACATGAAACCCACCATGCCCCTTCCAGAAAGTTCTTCCCCAATGAGGTGAGTGCACATTGTAGGAGGCATATCCATAACCACCTGATAACTAATTGTGAATTTCGGATGCACCTAGGCTCAAATTTTCGTAGCCATTCACACCGGGGCAGACCTCTTCTTTTATAGACAAGTATGAATGGTTCTTACACATACAGAGGTTGAGGTCCCTCAGTACATGAAACCATGTACACACTTCCTACATCTTAGATACAAAATGTTTATTGGTTTATCGCAATTTAAAAAAAAATGAATTAAAAACCAGTGTATCTAACGTGTCAGATATATTATCAGAGAGTGTCCTTTGCAATGTGTAGTTTGTGTCCATTTCTGGTATTTCGACCTGAGATGGTAGATCTGTGGCCCAGTGTTCAAACAGAGTGGAGCATTGAAGTAGATAGTATTGATACCAGAAAATAACATGTTGCAGTTTGAAAGTGTTTCACCAGGGGGAGTAATTGTCTTGTCACTCTCCCCTCCCCAGTTGTTCAGAGTGCCCCTGTATGAGATCATCCCCCTGGAGGCTGTGGTTGGCCTGTGCTGTGTCATGGACCTGAAGACGTTCTGTAAGGGCCGTCCCAAGACTGTCAAGGAGCAGGACGTGTACGTGTGCGACTACAGACTGGACAGGACGGCACATCTTTTCTACAAGACCACAAAAACCAAGTAAGTTCAGAATGCCAGCAGTGTTACTTCATCTCCTTGTTAAATATAAGACATTCTCAGATGTTGCATGTTCAAAATTTAAAACTGTTAGATATAAGAAGGTGCAAGATGTTGCAACTTAAAAATTTAAATCTGTTAAATATAAAACGTTTCGAGATTTTGCAAGTTCAAAACTTAAATTGCTGATTTTTATGCAATTTAACATATGCAAGGTGAAACATACTGCATAGCCCAACATTGTACTGTTTTTACTTGTGAAATAAATCAGTGAGTGATTGATAAAAACTGTTGAATATAAGAGGTTCTGAGATGTTGCAGGTTCAAAACATAAAATTATGATAGAAATAGTTCTTGTAATTAAAGGTAACCTTATTCCCCATCCCTCTGTAGGTACCCCATCTGCACCAAACCCTATGCATTTGACCACTTTGAGAAGAGGCTGGTGCCCAAGAGAACATACACGGTAAGACCCTAACACATATGACATAATGTTGAACTATATTGGTAAGTAATGCATGCTGTTGCAGTACTCTACTTTAGTGGCTGATTACACCAGTTGTGATTAAACAGTTTGCCTTTTGTTTGTACCCTAGCCTCATCATGTCCCAGAGCACTACAAGAAAACTGGTGGGAGGTGAGTTGACGATTTTTGTAATTTGCTCCAAAACTGTAGATACGTATCCTGCCTTCCCCCAGCACTATCCTCTTTTGTAATCTACTTTGTTTTAATTTTTATCATATATGTGGGAGTAAAGAATACAATACCATACCTGTGACAGGCCGTACTGGAAGAGTAACCGTCAGGACGGGAGTTCGGAGACGTCGTCCACCATGGGTGACTCCATCGACCAGGCCAGCACCTCGGGACTGGAGGAACCTGCAGTTTCTGACAAGATCAGCCCAAGGTACATTTTCTGTACGCAACTTTCTATCCTTGGTGTGGTCTTTCTCACAGTCCACCATGTCGTGTTGCCACAGTGTTGTCCGCATGGCAATGAATACTGCAGGTTCAATTCTTTACAACTCAGATTGTGTGAAAAATTCAAACCTTTTGTCAATTGAAATAAATGTCTTTGTGTGGTGTATATCTGTTTCTTTCCTCAGGCAAGTAGTATCATCTCTGGCTATTTTTTTTACATATCCTTCTGTTGTTTCTGAGGTTTAAAATGTGATAGATGTATTAGATGAACGAAATGAAACTACAAGTTTAACAATGAGCAGAAAGCCATTTTGTTTGAATTGAAGAGATTATAACACATATGAACCTGAGAGAAGACATATGTATTCTACATGATGTGTCTCTATCAAGCATAACAACTGACAGTTTTCATTTTTTTCTTGTAGCTCTACTGCAGAAGAAGCACCAACCTCCTCAGAACATCACAAGACAAAACAGGTACAAATGTGCATGTAATTGAAGCTTGCCTGATATTGACCTGCTACATGTACACTCCATGTTGTCAGAACTATCAGCTACATAATGACTGTTTAGTATTGTGTTGTTTTCTCAGAAATTGTTCTCAGTTTTTGTGTGTATTCCTGATTTACAGAGGCAGAAGCAA